ACAGAAAAACTGCCAAGATTAGACAGAGAGTTCCTCTTTACCCTGTACCTGGTTTCCCCTGTTCTTAGGATCTGGAATTAGTATGATACATTTGACACAATCCTAATATATAAAAAGTCAGGGGCTGTCATGACCGAAACAACCAGATGGACAACCAAACAGCAGGCTGCATGGGGCGACCAGGCCAGCAGGGGGGTTAGTGTGTGATAACCAAACAACTGAACAGTAGGCTGCGTGGGGCAACTAGGCTTGTAGGGGGTGGGGGGCAGTTTGGGGCAACCAGGCTGGTGAGGAGGGGCAGTTTGGGATGATCAGGCCAGCAGGGTGGCAGTTGGGAGCGACCAGGTGGGCAGAGGGGGCAGTTAGGGGCACTCAGGTTGGCAGGCAGAGGTGGTTAGGGGTGATCAGGCAGGCAGGCAGATGAGCAGTTAGGAGCCAGCGGTCCCAGATTGTGAGAGAGATGTCCGACTGCCGGTTTAGGCCCCATCTCCTCTGTGCATGAATTTTGTGCACCTGGCCTCCAGTGAATTAATAAATCTTGATGTATTTTTATTATTGACTCAAGTTTATTCTTTATTCCAAGTTCCTCAGTGTTCTCCTAATATCATTTGTTGTTGTTCCAGGATCCCATGTAGGACTCCATATTACATTTAATTGTCACGCTCCCTTAGGCTCCTCTTGGCTATGAAGTTTCTCAGACTTTATGACTTCGACAGTTTGGGTAGTACTTATTAGGTAGTTTGTAGAATGCTCTTCAATTGAGATTTGTCTGATGTTTTCCTCACGATTAGACTGCAGTTACGGGTTTTGGGGAGGAGGACGGACCTCAGAGGAAAGTGCCATTCTCATTACATCATATCAAGAATGCTGTTAAAGCCATAACTGGTTTGGCTCAGTGGATAGAGCGTCAGCCTGTGGACTGAAGGGTCCCGGGTTCGATTCCAGTCAAGGGCATGTACCTGGGTTGCGGGCACATTCCCAGTGGGGGGTGTGCAAGTGGCAGCTGATCAATGATTCTCTCTCATCGATGTTTCTAACTCTCTATCCCTCTCTCTTCCTCTCTGTAAAAAAATCTATAAAATATATTTTTTTAAAAAAGAAAAAAAATATTCAATGACACTTGTTATAGATGGTAAGGCAGACCCTCATTAGGATCCACTTGATAGGTATAGGGACCACCACATTGGGCTTTTGCAATGGGGTAGAGGCATGTGGCCCGCCGGCCATGAGTTTGATATGCTTGAGGGATTGGGTTCCACTCCAAATATAACAAGGAAATATGGGTCTTATAGCCCCCACTATAAGGAGCAAGGGGAAAATCAGTAGATGGAAACTTTGGAGAAAACATCAGGGATAAGGGAGATTCTAGCTAAACCAACCTAACAGGGTTGTTGCTTAAGACAGGCCAGGGTGGTCAGTCATCACCTGGGGATGGTGGGGAAGGAGGAGCTTGGTGAGATCAGGGTGGGGTTTCTGTTGTTGTTGCTGTTGTTGTTAAAACTAGATGTTACAAGGAAGTGCACTGATGGCCTAAAAGTTTCAGGAACCTGACTAAAGTTGGGTCAAGCAGACTCTTTGTGAGTACCTGCTATCAATGTGATTTGTCAACAACAGATTGATGTTGGTCTTGGTCACCTGGCTGAGGTTGCGTCTCCCAAGTTTCTCTATTGAGAAGTTCTTTCCCCTCCTACCTTTCCATATTCTACTCTCTGGAGGGATCCCACAAGTTAAGGGGCGCATTGCTGTGCTCCACCTCCTTGAGAGTGGAGTGCCTGCATAAACTATTTGGAACTTTCCTGCCCAGAAACTTGTTTATTGTACCAGGCACTTTTTTTTCAACACATTACCTCTTACAGTCTTCACAATTGTGAGATTTATATTATCTCTTAATTTCCAGATGTAGAAACAGGGACTCAGTGAGGTTGATTCCCCTTCCCAGGGTCACTCAGAGTTTAAGTGTTACGGGGGACTTGAACTTGAGTGTTCTCAGAGCCAACTCTCTCAAGTGCCAAACTCTCTACACTGTTGTTTAATCACCCACTGAAGGTATTTCACATGGACTTATTCCTTGGGTCAACTGTGTCTTTCTCTTAGGCAAGGTAAGCATTGAGGGAAAGATGTTCTTGGGGTCTGCATGGTGAGTTCACCCTTTAAAAGGGCTTTCTCTGAGGACTTGAGGGAATCCTATTCTATAAATCCTATTCTAAGTTGGACTAGGATCAAACTAGATTTCAATATGGTACAAGTTTGGGTTTTATTGTGCAAGGAAGGCTTGCATATCTATCCGTTTTTCTCTTTCTCTCTAGAAAAGGGAAGCTCTCTTTGGTTAATGGGCCTGGCTTCTTAAGAAAAATGTTAATATCTACACATTTTTAGAGACATTGGGTCCACCCTGATTTCATTGAATGATCTGTGTGAGAAGCGGTACTATATTCCGCTACTCTGGCAAAGGCAGTGGGGAGCCAGGAGTGATTTTACGGGTTGTTGAAAGCTCACGCCTGTAATCAGAATGAGTTGGCCACGTGCTGGCTTTTCTGAGCTCCACGTAATATGCAGAACGGATCTGTATAATGGGCTGTTTGCTTTGTGGATTTTCAATTTTTCCTCTCTCTGCCTGTTCAAAGTGTTTAGAATATGTCAGTGCAAAGGGCATCATGCTGAAAATTGGGACAGACATGCTCTTTCACGTCTTTAAAGAAATGGCTCGAAACAAATTGCAGTTGGTTTCACTAGGACCCTGGCTAAATCTGACTGGCAGGTGCCACAGAGCACTGAACCGGACAACCAACCTGAGACCAGAGCGCCCTTTCCCCCATAGTTTAGAGCAATTAAAGTGCTGTGGGCACCTGCCTGCTAGCGTTACCGCCGCCCCTGGCCCTGTCAATGACAGTGCAGGGCCACATGGCTGACATGAGTCAAAAGGCATCAGATGCTGTGGAACCCGTGAGTCACAGCTGAGGGTGACCCCCACCTGTTTCTGGCTTGTTAACCCACAACACGGTCATATTAGTCAGGGTTTCTTTCCTGGAAAGGCTACATGTTTCTCTTTTTAAATTTTGCAGTGAGTTCAGGAGATGTGCTGAGGTCAATGGCAGGCAGACAACAGTGCTTCTAGGAGTCCTCAGTCTAAATTCGGTTGCTTGTTTGTTATTAACTTGGAAATTGATGAGGAGGATTTGATATTGCTCGGGCAGCAGCCCTGCAAGGAAGGAACCTGGGTCCCAGACTCTGTCTGGGGGGATGGGAGGACAGCAACCAACCCCTTGCTGCTGTGGGCGGAGATAACGTTGGGTGACACTCTGCTCACAGCCTTGCCACCTGCAGGGCAGTCAGGTGAGCCCCAGGGGAGCACCTGTCTACAGGCTGCCCATCCTCAGGAGGAGGCCTCTCCTTCTGCCACATCCCAAATCGCACACAGTGCCCTTCCCAAAACCAGCTGGAAGGAGCCTCATGTCCTGGCTTCTCCGTGGTGCAGAGGCCTCATGGGGGAAGGGGGTGGTTCCCAGTTAAGGACAGAGAGTGACTGCCATGCCCACAAGGCCCCACACCTGCAACTCTACAATGCCAGTTCCAAAGGCCCAAGTACATGGTAGGGATGGATGGGGCCTTTCAGAGATCTGGGTCTTCCGTGTCTGAGGATGCGGACCGGGCACCCAGCATGGCCAGCTGGCCCAGGAGCGGGCTTCGCAGTCTGCTCCCACTCCCCAGTACATTAGCATCACCAGTGGGTCCCGGAGGGAGATGCAGCTGAGAGGTGGTCCTGGGGGGTTGGAGGCCAAGGGAAGGTGAAGAGCAGAGGAAGCTCCCTTCCACCTTGGGGTGGTCAGTCCTGAAACAATGAGGCTTGACCCGCTAGGACCGTGCTTCTCAGCAGGTGGCTTTGCCCCACAGGGGGCATTTGGCAATGTCTAGACACTTTTTGGGTCATCACAGCCAGGGTGGGATGAGGGGTGTGGTTGCTACCAGCAGCCAGTGGTTGGAGACCAGGGGTCTACAGTATACCGGGCAGCCCTACACTGAGAATAATCCGAGCCCAGGTGTCACTGGCGTGTGTGTGTGTGTGTGTGTGGGGAGGGATGTTCTTTCACACAAGGGCTTAAGAATAATGGCCGGTGGCCATCGGGCTGCTTGGCCCTTTGACCCAAGAGCCTGTCTTTGTGGTCAGGGAGCCCTGTTTGAGGAAAGCTCCCACTCCATTTTGGTTTTCGGGGGTGGGGGGCTGAAACCCCTAGGAATACTTCTTTTTATGTCACATTTTCCTTTTCCACTTATACTTAGGAGGGTAAGAGTGAGCAGAAAATCAGGTCTCTCTTGGAAGTGCAAGACAATAAAGGGGAGAACTCTGCGTTTTCTAATGAGTATTCTTACCTGCTTGGGTTTTTGCCTGAGGATCTTGGTAACAACACTGGCTGTGTTCCCTGCATGTGTGAGAATGTGTAAGTGTGAGTTGTGTGTGTGTGTGTGTGTGTGTGTGTGTGTGTGTTCGTGTGCTTGTGTATGAAAGACAGGGACCGACACTTCTGAGCAGTAACAGAGGGTGGCAGTGTGCACTGGCACATCCTCCTGCTGCGAAGTCGGCTTTCTCCTCTCAGAAGCCTGGGCGCCCTGGGAAGTGGCCCTGGGACTCACGTTTGGGTTTGCATCTGGGCCTGGGTGTCTCCTGCTGGGAGCTGACAGCACCGGGACCTTCCCCTGACCAGCAGGGTCTGCTGAGGCAGCTCAGCACTTGTGCATGCCAATCTCGCGGTGCCCTGGCTACTCAGGTTCCTCCTTAATGTGTTACCGGACAGCTGAGCTCCCAGTGGGTGGGTGAAGGGAACAAGAATAAAGCAGCAGAGACAGCCACACGTGCCTGTGAATTCTTTCTTGCTGTCTGAGGGGCAAACCCACACTCCACTGATGGGCTGGCCTGGGAGGTGGACCAGGCAACGTTCCTCTCTCTCTAGGAAGAGTGGTCTCCATGGTGTGCAGTCGGTTCACCTGTGCCAATCTCTTTGCAGGCCATGCCACCATCACCAACTACTTGTTGAACTACTTCCCCGGGCTTGACCTTGAAAGGAGGAACGTGTTTGGGTTCACGGCCCTGATGAAAGCTGCCATGCAGGGCCGAACGGAGTGCATCCGAGCCCTGATGCTAGCAGGTACGTCTCCACCGTCCTGCATGTCCCGGGCACCCGAGATGCGGATGTTGCTGCCTTGAAGACTATGTGCTGTAGGGATGAATCAGCCCTGTGGAAACGAGGGCTAATGAGCTACACGGCTGTCACCATCCAAAGGAAACCAACGAACAAGGGTAGCCACCTTCAGGATGGGGAGGGAGGTCACGGCACTGGTCACCTGGCAGGACACCCCTCCTTGCTCACTTCTCTGGTTTTGGCGCTGAGCAGCAAGTCTGTTCTATTGGAGTTGGGCGCAGGGTCGGTGGGTCAGCCTGGTTGCCATCCTAAATCCCTGCTTACTGATGGTTGGAGCCAATGGTGGTGTGGTATGTGGTATGTGGCTGTGCCGGGAACCAATTCCAGCATTTAATAATTACGAGAGTTCCATCAAAAGGTTGATGGGACTTGGTGGGCTCAACAAGAGTGAGCCACATATATAATTTACTTGTTGAAACAGCTAAGGCATTTCCCCCAAACCTGGATAGGATAATTGTTAGCTGCCAGACAGCTCAGGGCATTTTATTGCCTCCTGTTGGCCAAACACCTGAACAGCTGTAGGCTATTCCAGAAACTGACTATCTCTGTAAACCCTTTGATACCTTACCCTTTGAAGTGTATATTTCCACCTTGCCTTGGGACAAATTGTGTTGAATAAAAACTCAGGGTCCTGAGACATGGAGAGTCTTCTAGCTCCTTCAGCTGAAGCTCCTCTGACCCCCAATGCCTTTCAAAACTATCTTTTTGTCCATGGACTCCTTCATGAATCACATGCAGCTTTCTCCAGATTGCTGAACGCTTTGTAAGGCTGGGAAAAGAACCCCGGCATGACGGCTTCCTTTTCTATGAGGGGGTCACAGAGTAGAAAGGTCTGTGTGTAGCTCTGGATCAGCAGGGCACCCCCTTTGCTCTTTACGGCACCGCCATCTTGGAGGAAGCACTTTCTTCTCTGAGCCTCCGGGTGTCCATCTGTAAAATGGGAACAGTGACTTCCTTCTCACCCTCTGAGGATTAAATAGGAAAATATTTTGTAGACTTTCAGAGGCTACGCATGTTTAATGAACAGCTAAATTCCACAAGACAGCCTCAAGTTCTTTCCCCAACTCTACAATGGAATCACAACATGGTTAACACCACCTCATCGGGTTATTTTGAGAATTAAATTAGAAAAAATGTGTGTAAAGCACACGCCCAGGATCCAGCATGGGGAGAGTCAGTCAGTCAGTGTGTGATGCTGCTGTTGACATGAATTAATTTCATTATTTTAACTTATTTTGTTCTTGGCTATGGGCTCACCTATCCCGCTTGGTGCTGTGGGTTCCCCAAGTGCATTTCCCTGCCAATCTTCATATCTGAGGACAGCATCCACACTCTATGAGCTGTCAGCCCTGTCCTTCTGTGTATACAACTTATTTTTAAGAAATAAACATTTATTTTGGAATCCTTTCAGGTGGATGGAAAAGTGACAAACGTAGGACAGAGAGTTCCCATATAGCCTACACTGTATGTTAGCATCTTCCTAAGAGGCTGACATTGGTACAAGACTGTTCACCAAACTCCAGACTTGCTCAGATTTTACCTGTTCTTCCTCTGATGTGCCCTTTCCATTCCAGGGTCCCACCCAGGCTTTCATGTTTAGTTGTCATGAGTCCCCATTCCCCCTGGTCGTTGACAGTTTCTTAGTCTTGCCTCCTTGTCCATGATTGACCGTCTGCATACTGGCCACAAGGCAGTGCCCTCCAGTCTGAGCCTGTCTGTCGTTTTCCTTGTGATTAGATGGGTTATAAGATCTGCAGCTTGGTTTAGATTCTTCTTCCTCTGGCCTGAACCTGAGTGTTTCAGGGGATGCTGCGAGAAGAATAAACTCAGTAAATGAAGATGGAGGCTTTGAAGATGGAAATGTTCTTGGAACTAAAAAAAAGATCGCACTTACATGAATCCCATTGACTGTGCTTTGGGCTCAGTGACAGTTTCCAAAGTGAGACACCAGTTTCAGCAGAGTGTAGGCTCTGCCTGTCCTGTGCCTGGGAGAGACGCTGCTTCTGGTTAAATGGCAGTCAAGCGCTTCATCTGCTTTCACTCTGGACGTAGTTAAAACTTCGGATAGATCATTAACAATTTTATTTTTCAACCAGAAGTGTGTGGTGATCAGTTACATCTGTGCATACTTCCCAGTGAATTTATTTGAATCACCAGCCCTTTTGTTTATAGGCCAGTTGCCTGGGTGCCGCTGTTGTTTCTCCTCCAAGCCTGGCGGAGGTTTAGGCTTTGTCTACACGGTCACAGAATAACAGCAACGCCTGAGTGATGGGCCTGTTTACAGGCAGTGTGCTCGATGTTAGTGTTGTTCCTTTCCCACTCAGTGATGTGGATACCACATTTGGCATTGGTCTTTCTGTACGCTCCTTTTCCTATTTCATCCTCTGTGAGCCCTTTCCCATCAGTCTAGAACAGTGGTCGGCAAACTCGTTAGTCAACAGAGCCAAATATCAAAAGTACAACGATTGAAATTTCTTTTGAGAGCCAAAGTTTTTTAAACTTAAACTTCTTCTAACGCCACTTCTTCAAAACAGACTCGCCCAGGCCGTGGTATTTTGTGGAAGAGCCACACTCAAGGGGCCAAAGAGCCACATGTTGCTCATGAACCGTGGTTTGCTGACCACTGGTCTAGAGTAATCCATATGAGTACAGACCCTGAGGGTGTGCATTCCTGACCTGTATGTGGTCAGAACAGAATGGTCAACAGAACATACTTGGAAGCCAGGACTCCTGGCCTCAAATTCTAGCTCCTCCACTTACCCTGTCCATACCAACAGTCGATCACCTGGTGTTCTGAGCCTCAGTTTCCTCTTCTATAAAAAGGATAGCAGCTGATGTAGGAAGTCAGGGTGGGGGTTGAATGAGTTCCTTGGACTGATGCCTCGGATGGAGGAAACATTCAGTCCGTGTTGATTATTGTTGTTATTATTATTGTTTTTGGTGAGCTTGTGTATTCAGTAATTATCAGTTACATTCATGAAAATATATGGTATATTTTTCCCTTTGAAATGTATTCTTGTGATGAGATACTTAAACTTTCTTATTGACAGCAACAGGCACGTGACTCAGGGTTTCTTAATCTTGGCATGATTGGCATTTGGAGCCAGGTGATTCTTTGTGGTTGGGAGCTGTACTGGCAATAAATAGAAGGCTCAGCTCATCCCTGGCCTTGGACAACAGGTGGCTGCAGCATCCCCAAAACTGACAACCGAAATTATACCCAGACATTGGCAGCCATTCCCTGGGGTACATAGTCGCCTCCTGATGATGTAACCAGTGTAAGTGCGAAAAGATTTCCCCCTCTTATATATGCTTTCTTCCTTCCATCTTGCCCTATATTTCTTCTTCAAATAAAAACCTGACACCTTTCTTGGGGAGCTTTTGCCCCACCCCTTGGGGCTTTGGTTGCAGTATTTAATTTCCAGAATATTTCCATGTTCAACTGTTACTACTGAGTTAGTTTACAGTTCTTTCCCCCCTGGTAAGTGAGTTTCCTTTTCCTTTTCTGGTAGATGTGTGTGCCTGCTTTAAGAGAAAAAAAGTGTGATTGAATGTCTTCCTGGGTTTGGTGGACAGCAATAAAGACACCTGTTACGTGAAAGGTACTTTAAAAACGTGCACAAGTATTTTTGCCTTATTTCCATTTAATATATAATAGCAAAGTAGGAAAAGTTAAAGCTTTTAAAGGTCCTAACGCCTGAGTATTTCTTTAGGATTGGCATTTGTGTGCAGCTGCAAAAGGTACCTTGAGAGCTGGTCACAGGATGGCCGCCCTGTGGCCATTTCAAAGCGAAAGGCATCAGCATTACTGCACATTCAAGGTTGGGGTAAAAACGTGCAGCTCGTCCTCATTTTGTCAAGGGCAGTGCTCCTCTGTGACCGAATGAATTTCCAAGTTGCAATTTCACTATATTCAATAGGAGCTATTTAAAAAAATAAAAAAATAAAAAAAAATATATATATTGTGTATATATATATATATATTGTGTATATATATATTGTATATATACAATATATATATATATACACACACATATATATATATATTATTGATTTTGTACAGAGAGGAAGGGAGAGAGATAGAGAGTTAGAAACATCGATGAGAGAGTCATCGATCAGCTGCCTCTTGCACACCCCCTACTGGGGATATGTCCACAACCAAGGTACATGCCCTTGACCAGAATCGAACCCGGGTCCCTTCAGTCCCCAAGCTGACACTCTATCTACTGAGCCAAACCGGTTTCGGCAATAGGAGCTATTTTCCTTTTGGACGTGATGAGTCATTGAACTGGATGCCCCCCAGAACTGTTTACCTTTTCCAATAGTTCAGGACTTACAGGCACATATCAGCTCTTATCTTAGCTTGTCAGGCAGAATAAAGTAATGTTAGAACGACAGTATCACACGGTTCTGAAAAGCTGATTTATTGGCTCTTTTGGTTTCTGGCTTCCCAAGGATGAGGATGGCGGGGCAGGCTGCGACACCTTGTTAATTCAGGAGAATATTAATGCCCTCCGGTGACAGGCCTGTTGAAGTAAGTGGCGCTGGGAAGCCGTATGAAGGGCGTGATCGTCCCTGAAGAGAGACAGACTCTGTGGAGGCCAGCAGGTTCCAGACTTGCTTATGAGAACCGGGAGGTAGTATCATTGCTGCCACTCCTGGGAAGCGCAGCCAAGCAAACAAAAAGTGTGGAGTTGCCTGTGATGCCAGGGAACAAAGCAGAAGGCGGGAGGCTTGCTGCATGAGGAAGAAGAGGGAGCAGAGGCACGCACATGTCGGCACTGACCGTGTGGTCACGCTGTCCCAGGCTGGCTCTGACTATGGACTTCTGGAAAGCCAAAGGTCTGCTACCACAAAGGGTAGGCTATCACTAAGAGGTTTCTTTCTGTTTATAAGGAAAGCGTGACTTTCCCAACAACAGAATTTGCCCAGTTGGAATAGTTTCAAGCAGTCAAGGAGAAAGAGGGCTAAAAACTAGGCATTCCATATCATCCAGGGCAGAGTCTTAGCTCCGAGACCCATGAAAGCAAACCCCAAGGCAAGGACTTGAGGCCAGGACCTTTTTCTGGAGGATGCCCCTGGGAAGTGGTGTGAAGGAGAGAGAAGTGAGACCAGGAGGACAGGAAAGCTGATAAATTGTGCCGAGGGGCTGGTGACCATTGTGGGCAGCCGGAGTCAGCCCTTTCTAGAACCTCGGGAAGACCTAGTATAAGACATCTCAGACATGCCTCTTGGGTGGGCCAGGGAAACCAGGGTATTTATCCTCCAACGGGGTCCTCAGGGCAGGGGAGCTCTTGGGCACATTAAATCTGTGTGGAGAGCTGGAGGGCAGATGATCTGATGCCTGCTGGGGGCTCTTTCCTGTGACCCTGCATCCTGACTTGTCAGAGTGATTAGACCTCAAGATACAGGCCAGAGGGGGCAAGGAGAAGGCCTGTAGGACTGGTCCACAGTGGTCCTCTGTGGCTGGAAAGGCCTGTGGGCAGGAGGGAGACAGGGCTGGGCTTTGAAGCATAGATAATGTGGGGGTGGGGGTGGGAGAAATAGGGAAGGGAGTGATGCCTCTTGGACTCTGCCCGTGCCCTGCTGGTCCCATGGACCTGGCCATGACCACCTGGGAAAAGTGTCCTCAGAATGAGTGACGGAAGGTAGCTCGTCTTCCTTTAGGACCTGTTTACAATGCTTCCTGCGTGAGGAACAGAAATCCTGACTTGACAGTGGTTTAAAGAAGTGCATTTTTCTCCCTCTACTAATAGAAGTTTTGTGGTAGGCAATCACCACGCAGAGCTGGGCCAGGGCTCTGAGGACATCACAGACCCAGTTCCTGCCTCTTGTCCACTTCGCCCCAAGCTGCTTGTCTGGTCCCCTCATGATTGCAGAATGGTCATCCAGCGTCAGGCTGCAGATTCCTGCTTCAGGCAGAAGGCAGCAGCCCAACCACATTGGTCCCTCAGCAGGACACAACGGCCTTCTCTCTGGGGTTCACGTGGGCCACGGGATTGCCTTGGGCCAGGTGTGGGATGCTTTTGGCTTTCACAACTGGTAGACTGCTCCTGGCATCGGGTGGGTGGAGGCCAGGGATGCTGTTACAAGCCCTACAGTGCACAGGACATGTCAATGGTGCCGAGGTTGTGAAACCCCGGGAAAGACCAATTATGGAGCATTGCTTCGAGCTGAGCACGTTGCTCCCTGAGTAAAATAGAGGATTTTGTGTAGGCATCTCACAGCACTCAACACGGGCAGCAAATGGGCCCTCTGGCAGGAGCCCTACCCCTGTCTGCCTGCCTGGCGCCCTGGGCCAAACAAATTAAGAGATGAGGAGGCCAGTAGTCTCATGGGGAGAAGATGGATACAGTTACGTTTCGGAAGTTTTCCATAGTCTCTGAAAGGGGTACTGTATTTATAACTGTGTTAATCATCAGCACTTGTCTCTCTCATGATTTAATCACTACGTCCAGGGCATTAATATTATCCTTCACAGTAATTTCTTAAGTGATTCCCTGACTTATCGCAGGAATCAGATTCTCGAGCTGTGTTACAGTTAGAGTGGCCTTTGTCCTTTAGAATGTTTGTATTTTTCCAGGATCCTCTGGAAGAGGTACCTGAGGACCAGGAAGGGGCATGCTAAACTTTGGACAGCTGTTCCTTTAGCTTTCCATTAGCGTTTGAAAAATGTCTCTTTCAAGCAGTGTTCATTAAGATTTTAATTCTGCAGTTTGTTCCTTTTTAAGTGACATGCAATTAATTAAGGTTTAATGTGTCATCTATTTTTTGCAATGACACTTTTACTGCCCCCTTTTCATTTCAGTCCGTTTATAAATTGTACTCCAGCTAATGAGTTCCACCTTGATTTCCAGTTCCAAATAATTACCACTCTTCTAATATGGCTATTCTTTAATGTGTCACAGGATCAGGAGCATTACCAGGTGAAACCGGGGGAGCTGGATCTGCCTGGGCCGTGGGCCACGGGCCACGGGCTCCCCTGCTCTGCTGGTTCAGCACATACTGACCAGTCCCCACAGTCAGGCACCCGGGTCTGCGTGGGACGGAAGCCTCAGCCAGCCTGGTCCCTGGCGAGCTCGCAGAGGAGATAGTTGCTCCCCTTCTCCGCATCGCTTTGCCCATGGAAACATGACTAATGGGACTTGAAATCCCGAGTGATTTTTAACTGTAGGTGGGGCTGAGATGGGACCAAGATGAATTGAACAGCAACTCCTTATTAATTCTGAAACGTATGCAGCATTCAGAGGGCCCAGTGGGTGGTGTGGATTCATTAAGGAAGTGACTAGTGTGAGTGAGACTGTGAGGGTGTAGGAGTCAGGGTTCTCCAGGGAAACAGGACCAATGAGTGATATACTAGCACATTAAGACGTTTATTTATTTACTTTTAATATATATTTTATTGATTTTTTACAAAGAGGAAGAGAGAGAGATGGAGAGTTAGAAACACCGATGAGAGAGAATCATTGATCAGCTGCCACTTGCACACCCCTCACTGGGGATGCGCCCACAACCAAGGTACATGCCCTTGACCGGAATTGAACCTGGGACCTTTCAGTCCGCAGGCCAACGCTCTATCCACTGAGCCAAACTGGCTTCAGCAAGACGTTTATTTTATTAAGAGGTGTAAGGAACTGGCTTACGTTGGCTTGGGAGTTGGCAAGCTCAAGGTCTGCACAGCAGTGTAGGAGCTGAGGCTGCAGTATGGAGTGGAATTCCTTCTTCTCGGAAAATTCGGGTTTTGTTTTTAAGACCATCAGCTGATGGGACAAGGCCCACCCATGTTACCTCAGGCAGTCTCCGTGACTTCAAGTCAGCATTAACCACATGTACACAATACCTTCACAGCACACCTGGTTTGTGTTTAATTAAATCCCTGAGTCCTAGAGCCTGACCATGCTGACACAGAAAACTCACCGAGGAAGGGCCTGCTGGTGGGGGTGGGGGGCTAGGTCGGGGGGAGGGAAGTGCCTGGGGAGAGGGTCATGGACTTCTCTCTTACCGGCTTTGAGAGTTCAGGCAGGTTCCTCGGCCACTGTGACCACCATCCATCCTGGAACAAACCTTTGTTAAATGTACGCCTACCACCAGCCAGTGTGCTGTGTGGTGAGAAGTTAAAAGCGAGGCGTGGCCTTGGCATTGGAGGAGCTCACAGTCTGGTAAAGATGACAGAGCCACCATCAACTAACCACTCAGTGTGAGACGTGAAAACGGCTTTCCATTTCTGCAAGATCACGACGGGGCTCCCCTGCTCTCAGAGACCCGGGGGGGGACAGGGAGGTAATAAATACACCGAGTGGCTAGATGATGATGCTCTCTGAACGCATAATAATCTGGCCACTCAGTGTACATCCTATATAATAAAAGGCTAATTTGCAAATTGTTCCCTCGACCAGGAGTTCGACCAGCAGGCAGGCTGGCTGGCCAACTACCGTGTCCCCTCCCCTGGCCAGGCTGGACCCCACGCATGCACGAATTCATGCACTGGGCCTTTAACACACACACACACACACACACACACACACACACGTATGCACCAAGTAGCTAGATTATTATGCGTTCAGAGATAATAATAATAATCTGGCCACTCAGTGTATATCCTATTTAATAAAAGGCTAATATGCAAATTGTTCCCTCGACCAGGAGTTTGACCAGCAGGCAGGCTGGCCGGCCAACTATCATGTCCCCTTCTCCTGGCCAGGCTGGCCCGACTCACCCATCCATGCACAAATTCATGCACTGGGCCTCTAAGTGGCCCAGTGTGTGTGTGCGTGTGTGTGTGTGTGTGTGTGTCTGTGTGTGTGTGTCTGTATGCACACACACACACACACCCCGGGTGGCCAGATTATTCTGCATTCAGAGATCATAATAATAATCTGGCCACTCAGTGTAGATGCAAGGGCCCCAGTACTGTGTATTTTTAGAACATTCTAGCAGCAACAGTCGCCTGTTCACAGAGCACCTGTGTTGTCTTCATCTCTCCATTGCTGGAAAGCCAAGAAATCTCATTGCTTCAGAAATCCCAGTGTTTGGGTGCCGAGGCCAGGTGGTTTTACTTAGGAAAGAGGCCATTAAGTGGAGCGTGCCGAGGTGGTCTGTGTTATAGGAAACAGCCGGGGATGACCAGAGGCAGGTTCATCCAATGTCTGTCTCTACTTGCCCAGGGCGAGAGGCCGCTGTTAGGTTTGGGAAGTTTGACCCATTTCATTCCGCTTGCCACCTCCCTCCTAACTGCCTGTGTTTTTCAGGGGCGGACGTCCACGCCAGGGACCCCCACCGCGGGATGTCGCCCCAGGAGTGGGCCACCTACACGGGGCGGACGGAGGCCGTGCGCCTCATGGGGAGGCTGCTGGAGCGCCCCTGCGCGGAGCAGTTTGGGGAGAAGTACAAGGCGGAGCTGCCGCGGCCCCTCGAGGGGGCCCTGAAGCCCGGGAGCAACAAAAGCTGCCTGCAGAGGCTCACGGAGTTCGTGCGCTCCACGCTGACCCCCCGCTCGCGCCCGGGCCTGGCGGACGGGGGCGCCCTGGACCACATGGTCAGGATGACCACGAGCCTCTACAGCCCCGCGGTGGCCATCGCCTGCCGGACCGTATGCCCCGAGGACCCGCCCTGCGTGGGGAAAAGGCGGCTGGCGGTCCAGGAGATCCTGCAGGCTCCGGGGGCCCCAGACACCCGCGCCCAGGAGAGGGACAAGGCGGAGGAGCCCGAGCAGCCATCCCGGACCCCCCAGGCTGTGGGGGCCTCCAGGGAGGGCGCCCCGAGAGCCAGCCTGGCGGCCCCGCGGAGGACCAGCCTCCTGGCGCTGCGGAGGCGGAGCAGCGTGCGGCCCGGCGTCCCCATCCCCCGGGTGCGCATCACCAAGGCGCCCGCGCCCACCTTCCAGCCCGAGCGGGCGCCCGCCAAGGCCGGCGCCAAGGACAGCTCGCACCTGCAGCTGCCCAAGTGGCGGTACAAGGAGGCCAAGGAGGAGAAGCGGAGGGCGGAGGAGGCGGAGAGGCAGCGCGCGGCGGCCGCGCACAAGGGCCGGCGGGCGGCGCCCTGGAGGAGGCGGACGTGAGGCTGCGGGGAGGGTGCGGGCTGCGCGCGAGGAAGGATGCGCTCCGGGCCCCGCTTTCTCCTGCGGGACAGGAGCCTCTAGGAGCCCCCAGAGAGCAATCCATGTCTGTTCAGGCTGCACCCAAGGGTGAGTGGGTCACAGCACAAATGGCTTTGCCTAAAACCAGTTCTCCTGGCCATCAAATACACCTGGCGGGCAGTTTGCCTAAAAGCCTACCTGCCTTTAGAAGAACCTCAAGAAAATTTGAAGGCCAAGTTATCCAAGGGCATTTTCTGTATAATTTTGTATTTTAATCACGATAAAATTTGCAGCATTTTACTAGTGGTAGGGTTGTTTGTATTTAAGACAGTTTTAATGCATTTATCGAAAGATCCTTTGCTTAAAATGTTGCTCCTAGCAATAATTATGTGTGATATCTCTATGATTTCATACGGAATTTAGGAAAATTCTCCCTCCTTTTTTTGCTGATTTTGATCTTACTTTCCATTCTCATTGTGGGTACCCATAGCCCTGTGTATTCTTATTGATTTTAATAAGTGATGCCAAATATTTGTTTCTATTTGATGGAGACATTTTTTTTTTTTACAGCAAAATGATCAAGTGAGACAGGAATCAGATTTCCTTATATCTTATTTGTTAAAGCTATTTTATTCACACGGGAGTAACAATGAAGAGAAACCTATTGTCAAAGTATGAGACAGTGCATAGAGAAGCATGTATTTATTGCGGGAACTAAACTCACTTTAAGCAAGGGATTTTAGGTAAGCTGCTACAAAATCTTTACCATATTCCAAAACAGATATAAGAAGCAAAACTCTTTTTAATAAAATGGGGGCAAAGCTAATACATTACTATTATTATTATTAGAAAAACAAAAAGTGATATGTGCTCTTTGATAAATAGAGTTCAGGTGTTCTTAAAATATTAGAAAGATGCGAAACAGATAAGGACCCCAGAGTGAAACCCCTGGAATGGAGGGGGTAACTGGTAGAGGACCAGGGATTAGAACTGACTTTTAGGCAAAGCCTCCTCCAGAGGGCTGGGCAGTGCACTCCTCCGACTCAGTGCCAACGATGCCTGGTGCGGACTGCCTTTTCCTTTTCCTTTTCCTTTGAGAGCTGCCCCGATGCTCACTTCATCCTCACACCGACTGTGTAGAATTTCCAAGATGGGATATGGGGACTTTGGCAGAGCACAGATGTGGCTTGCCCTGGGCCCTGAACTCTCAGTAGGAGTTTTCTGTCCACACTTTTTTTTTTTTTTTTTTTTTTTTAATCTGCCAAGCACTGAGAAACTCTAATGAATCTCTGGCCAACGGGGCTGTAGAGTATGGTCACATATGCACTACTGACAGCACTTTATTTATGTCCTGCTTGGAAGCTTAGATTTAAAATATTACAGAGAGTGAGAAGCGCTGCATTATCCTCCTGGATTCACAGGTCAAACCGTGTTCACTGGCGACATTGGGCCCGGCTGTCTCATGCTGCGGGTGGTGGCGGTGGCTCTGGCCTCTCTGTTCCCTCCCACCAGCACTACCAGGCATTGGGTAACCAGGGGTCTCATACTCACTCCCCACACCCTCCCTGCTGCACATTCCATGGGGAACAGGTGTGGTGATAGCTCCGCTTTTAAGGTCCGATTGTAGTGAGTTCCACCTGCATTCCAGAGAGGCACAGGGAGGATGGCACGGAGGGCTGGGCCCACTGTGAGCATAGCTGGTAGCAGCTGCCTGCAGGCCACCCTGGCGCCCAGGAGCTGGGATGGGCCAAGATGAGGGCTGGTCCCCGAAGTGGAAGCATCCCTGGACTCTCTGACAGTCTGGCATCCTTTCAGATCCCATTTTCGGCGTTGATGTATTTTTGTGGCTTTGAATGGCTGGCCGCAGTGTCTCACTCAGGGGCCAGTCCCTGCCCCTGTGACCAGTGTCAGGGCAGGGGCACGGCTGGCCCTTCTGGTTTCCATGTCTCCTTGGCGTTGTCACACTTGTTCCCTGCCATCCCGTTCGCCTCCTCTCCTTTTCCTCACCTGCCTTTTCTTCCTCTGCTGTTTCCTTCTCCGGGTTTGGCTAACTGCCTTATTCATCCCTAGCCCCACTGCTCTGAGGTCTGAACAGGGCGGGAAAGCAAGGCCACTCAGAGAGGCAGTGAGTGTCCCTGCTGAGTGTTCATGTCATGCCCTCCAAACACACAGTAGTGAACGAAGTGCAGATTTTTCTAGCGTCCAAGCAGATGGCTTAGAACCCCCCCCCCCCCCCCCCGTACTCCCTGGCTTTTAGGGAGGAAGCCCTAAGTTTCTCTCCTGACAGATGACAACCCCCCCCCCCCCCATCGATGTACAGAGTGGGGAGGTCAGGTGTCTGCTTGCACCCGGATATTTATGAACTATAAATAGTAAATTTCAACTTGACAGGTACCTTCTCAGGGATTTATATATAAACATAGTTAGGGGCAAAGTGGAAGTATGTTTTAATACTTTGTAGTGTTTGTATGAATTACGATTAAACTAGGCAGAGGAAATGTGTCTAAGGCAATGCCAGTGCTGCTATTTCCCAGGGGGGATGTCTGGGAATGGCCCCTCGGTCAAGGTTTCCTGGTTATTGGGAACCCAGAACCTGCTGCCCCAGGGCTCTGGGGTGGACATGGAGTGGCTTCAGCGCCTCTCGGCGGCCTGTGGATGCGGCCCTTTGTGTGTATGGAGAGAAGCTCACCCGTGGGAGCTGCGGTGGCAGTGATAACACAAGGACCCCTTCATCGCTGTGACTGCAGAGCTGGCTCCTCCCCATCTGACATCGGGGTGTGGTGTGAAATGACTCCCTTTTCTATGTGCTCATGTGATCAAGGCTGCTTCTGCCAGCCCAGCACCAAGCTCAGAGCGGGAGAGCAGGGAACCCTGGGCGGTCGTCTGGGGTGGCCTGGGCATCGGGGATGGCCTGGGCGTCAGGCCGCTCGCACCTTCCAGGGCTCTCTGGCTGCGCCAGGGAGACACCCCAGAGCATTAGGGACCTCTGCCTTTTTGACGCGGCTCCCATGGGTAGCATGCGACACCTCAGGACTATGAAGGCGGGCAATACAGTCCCTTCGTCATCTTAGCTGCGGGCCCTCCTAAGGCCGAGGCTCACTGTGCCGAAAAGGCTGGATTTGGCGATGCCGTTCGGAAGTGGGCCTTGGGGCTCGGAGGGACCGTTCCAGGCGGCTTCTGCGGGCCGTGGGTGACCAGGTCTCCGGCCGCTGGGCTGCCGTCTGTGAAGCGGAATCGCATGGCTGGAGCCAGACCCCGGCCCGGCGACGGATGGGGAGCTGCTGTCCCGGGAAGAATCCTGGGCACGGAGGTTTGAAGAAGCCTCCCTGAGGCGTAAATAACTGAGCCGAGACCACGGAGCGGGTGTGACTGGGCTCCCGCAGCCTCCGGCAGGAGCAGGTGCCCGCCCCGTCCACACTACAGGAGAGGGAGGCCCTCTTCCCAGAAGCTCGCTAAGCTAAGCTCGCTCTGGGCGAGGAGCTGCAGCCCTGCTGCTGTCAGCTGTCCCTCTGCCCCAGCTCCCCTGCAGACGCCCGCCCGCTCACTTTCCCACCCTCATACAACCAGGTCGTTCCCGGGAGTATGAAGGCTTATCCCAAACGATGGGAAGCTCCTATTCACCACCAGCCCTTCATATGCGAAAACGCCAGCACGTGGAACTGTTCGGATTCTGGGCCTGGGCCTCAGTTTCCCCTGCAGCAGGCTCGCCTTAGCCGGGTCCCATCCAGCAGCTGCCGGGAGGGCCGGGGTCAGTCATCTGGGGAAGGAAGGGTGGAAGGCCAAGCACAGTCACTCCTAAGACAGCCGGGTCACGTTTATGACAGAAAACCGCCCGGCAGAGCTGTCGGCTGCCACAAAGCACTCAGCACAGAAACGGCTCTTCCCAGCTGAGGTTGCGCCCTCCTCGGAGTGCACCTCCACGCTTTCAGAACTTATGTGGGCATCTGTTCTGTGTGCCTGCTGCGTCAGCTGCTCGCCTCGGTGCCCTTGAATTCACGTGGCTCCTCATTAACATTTAAAATAAGTGGCCACAGACCTTCCCCTGGAGGTTATTTTTTCAAAGAAAGAGGAAACCCTGCAACCAGCAGGACTGAGGAGCTGATTTTTGAGTGGCTCAGATGAAGGCCAGTGACGCGTACAGTCTACACAACCTCCTCGCTCCGACCCAGCCTGAAATAAGCCGACGTGACAGGTGTGGCCCTGTGGTGCCGTGACAGCCCGCAGCAGCAAAGCTGGGCCAGAGTGGACAGTGTGTGATAAGGTGTGTGTGTGTGCCCATGCGTGCACACACATGCACGCACACACGTGACCTGAGAGGAGACCTGGCTTTGTGCTCACAGAGGTGACTGCTGCTGTGGCTTCACTGTGGCTCCCGGGAAATGTCCGGGGTGACCTGCTTGGACGGTGTGTATTCAGGAGGACCGGACGGCCAAGGCCACTGTGGGCACTCAGGCCAACACACGTGTAACACAGCCAGTGTGTCCTAGCACAGGACTTGCTTTTCAGAGGCAGTTTGGCCCGGGTGACTAATAGAGGAGCTCCTTGGCGAGGTTATATAGCTGGTATGCCTCCTTGACATCCTGGCACGGAGGGGCCCTGACTCGGAGGACTCTGGTTGGAGAGTGGCCACCGGGTGGGGCTGACTCCCTGAGATTTGGCGCCGGGCTGACATAGAATCCACACTTTACCCTTTAAGAAGTGCTAAGAGTTCCCCAAGTCAGCCTCCGTGATAGATACTCGAATCTAAGGTAACGTAGTTTGGGGCTTGAGAGAAACCGGTCCATCAGACTGTGATCCCTTCTTAAGGAAAATGTGGAAGAGAAACAAAAGCGAGGCTGCCGTGCTGGGTAGAGCGGGCCTGTGTTGACCTGATGCATTAGGAAGTTTTGTTTTTTTGTGGGGGGGAGGGGGAAGGGGTCACGTGGAAGCGCTTTCACAGCAGTTGGGGAGCAGAAGGTCTAGAAGCTGGTTTGGGACTGCACAGCAATGTCGAATTTGATGAAAACTATAAAGAGAAGATATACACTCAGAAATGTCACCAGCAACTCTGGGAGCCTTCAGAACTGCCTAAGGAGTTTGAACAACACACCCACTCAAAGAAACAGGGAAAGCCAATCGCATTGAAATTCTCTTCATGCGAATCACCCTGCCTGGGACTCCCGTGGGGTCTGCGGATGTGTGTGAGAGGGACCAGGGTTCCAGTTCTGTTTCATCTTGGGATAAGCTATTGTTCTGGATGTAAAGCTATCTTCGTTGTCATTTCTAAAAATCCGGTAGGTTTCTGGATATTGTGAAAACGTTGGGTCCGGATGTGATTCTGTAACTTTTATAGTGTTTTATTTGGAAGTGAGAGTGTTTGTTTATAGGAGGTATTTTCCTATTTAGACCTCAGGGCTATTTTGGAACTCCCAAATAAATGTGACCCCAGCAGCTTGGGTTTTGATATCCAAAAGGTAAATCATCTTTAAGTTAAATATGATATATTGTTCAGCAGAAAGAATGTACCTTTCCTTTTTAACTTCTAATAAATTCTGTACTTAGTGTTTTAAAAGTGTAGAAAAAAAGATGTGATAATGTAAAAATGTGGGGGAAATTGTAGTTATAGAATTAAAAATCACTTGTGAAATAAATATTCTTATGGTACCAGAGTGTGATATTTGAATAAATTTAAGTGTGTATAAATTAGCAAATGAAACAATGAAATATACCAGTATTTTATAAAAATATATGTTTATTGATTTCAGAAAGGAAGGGAGAGGGGGAGAGAGAAACATCAATGATGTGAGAGAATCATTGATTGGCTGCCTCTTGAATGCCCCCTACTCTGCCCTTGACTGGAATTGAACCTGGGACCCTTCAGTCCGCAGGCCCACACTCTATCTACTGAGCCAAACCAGCTAAGGAAATATATATTATTATTTTTAATGTCACTTATTTGAATCAAAATAAATGTGCAGTTTCTTCTTCTGGCATACTTTTGCTTTATTTTTCAAAGATAACATTTAAAAAATGTTTTAAGTTACCAATGAATACTTTGCCATTCATTAAAACTAGAGGCCTGGTGCGCAAAATTCATGCACAGGATGGTGGGGGGATATCCCTCAGACCAGCCTGCACCCTTTCCAATCTGGGACCCCTCGAGGGATGTCTGATTGTCCATGGATCAGGCCTAAATGGGCAGTTGGATATCCCTCTCACAATCCAAAACTGCTGGCTCCCAACTGCTCGCCTGCCTGCCTGCCTGATTGCCCCTCACCACTTCTGCTTGCCAGCCTGATCACCCCCTAACCACTCTTCTACTAGCCTGATCATCCCTAACTGTCCTCCCCTGCAGGCCTGGTCCCTCCTAACTCCTCTTCCCTGCTGGCTTGGTTGCCCCCAATAGCCCCCCCAAAAAATACCCTTGCTTGCAGGCCTGGTCCCCTGGCAACTACCCTCCCCAACCCCGGTGCAGGCCTGGTCTCTCCCAACTGCCGTCCTCTGCAGACCCAGTCACTCCTAACTGCCCTCCCCTGCTGGCTTGATCACTCAAAACTGTCCTCCCTTGCTGGCTTGGTCACTCACAACTGTCCTCCCCTGCAGGCCATCTTGTGTCCACATGGGGGCAGCCATCTTGTGTGTTGGAGTGACGGTCAATTTGCATATTACTATTTTATTAGATAGAATAATCTCTTTGCAGGCCACCTCTTCTGATCTACACATTAATAGACCAGCATCCTTTAGTCATATTTCCAAGTATTTACATACGTAAGTCATATAAAAATATAGTTTTGTTTTTATGAGTAGTCTTTTATCTCAATGGTACAACGGAAATGTTCTTTAGTTCCTTTTCTTTAATTGAATGACTCTGAAAAGCTTTTTAAGGAATTTAAAAATTTATTTTCTTTTAACAGCTAAAATAGTTCTCAAACACAAAAGAAATCAAGCAAGCAGTATAAAACAGTCTTCGGGGAAAAGTGACTTACCCTCCCCCCGGGCAGCCCCTGAGACCACTTACTTGTGCATCCTCCTGGAAATACGTTCTCAGTGTTTTCTTCCCTGAAGCTGTTATACAATGAGATCCCATTGCATGTACAGTTTCTTTCACCTGTGTTGGGGAGAGCATGTTAGTGTCTTCAATCTTGTTGCTTGCTATGTAGTATTCCTTGGGAGAGGTGCATCACAATGCATTTAACCCTTTCTCCATGTTGGACTATTGCAGTATTTTTGGTTCTTACCTCTTACAAGGGAGGAAGAGCCTTGAACTGATCTATTTGTATACTCAAGTGAATCTAATCCTAAGACGGGTATAAAAGTGGGACCTGCCAGGTGGAAGGGAAGGCAGTGTAGTTGCAATAGTCACTGCAGTGTTGAGGCTGCTGAGATTTGCTGGGGATGGACAAAGGAGTCATTTCTCACCTGCTGTTCATCAGACTTTCTAATTTTTGCCAATCCAATAGTTAAACAATTGTATTTTGCTTTAATTTTCATTTCCCCAATTATTGGCAAGCTTTAGCATCTTTTCATGTGTCTTTGGACCACTTTTGTTTCCTGTTATAAAATTTTCTTATATCTGTTTCTCAATTCTTTTATTTTTTGATGTAATTTTTACTGATTTGTAGAAGTTTGCTACAAATTTTGGATCATAGTTCTTTGACATATATTGTGTTTATTTTTTTCCCATTTTATCTCTTATCTTTTAGATATCTCAGATAAAAGTTTTAAATTATAATTTAGTCAAACTTGTCAAACTAATTAAAAAATATTTGCATTTTGTGTTTCAAGGTAGTTTTTTCTACCCCAAATTTAATATTTTTCTTCTATATTTTCTCCTGATTTATAGAAACTATTTCTTTTCTTTTTAGCTTTAAAAGTATTACAATCACGCACAGTTCGTCATTTATGTGTATTTGATGGGACTAAAAACAAAGAGCTCTTATATATTTGTAAAGTTCTACTCTGCGTTTAAGAAATCTTAAGTCTGATGCATTAAAAATCATAGTCCCACTTATTAAAATTATGATTGAGGGAGGATCTACATAAGAGGTCAAATTTTAAATGAAACCTTGTTCTACGTCAATATTGTTATTGGAGATACTTGCACTCGTTGTTTGTGAAAGAACAAATGAAGTGGTTATGTGATGGGTGGAAATACGGGTGAGTGGGGAGGTAACAGACAAAGGGTAGACGTATTCAAAAAGTCTGAGAACTGGGACGTGAAAAGTGAGTGGGAGAGAGGAAGATTTTCCTGACTAATGCACAACCTTGAAACTCAAAGTTCCTTCCCATGGGACCCAGGGGTGCGGTAGGGGAGGCCTAAGGTGTGCCCCGGGGGCACTCTGTCTGAGGGCCTCTAGAGCAGGTCTGTGCTCCTCAGCCAAGAAGTCACCCTGATGAGGAGTTCTGTGCGTGGCCCTTGCCCCTCACTGAGGCCCTTCACATGGTCGCTGGCTCCCAGCAGGTCACCCCTGCTGTCTCCTTTGATGGGGACTGGGCTGGCTTCCAGCAGTGGGGACATTAAAAGTGGCCTGGAAACCTCCAGCCTGCTGACAAGACAAACTTTGATGTACAAATTGTCTAGGTACGTTGTCAGCTGCCTGCAGCATCCCATCCCTGGTCACACTGTCCCTGCAGCAAAGTCACCGGATCACGGGTCTCCCAGAGCACTGCTCTCCCTTACGTTTTGCTGACAAAAAAATATACAACACAGTACAACACAACACAACACAGTAAAATACATGACTCAAGCTCAAGTCTAGTGCTTCAAAAACATTATTTAACAACAACAAAGTTGAGAAGTCAGTTTGCTGTAAGGATATGATTTCAAATTTTCAAAAACTCTTAACAGAAAAGCCTTGTTTGTGCAAGACCTAGTTGGGAAGCTGGGTCGGGCCGCTCTCCGGGCCACCAGAGCCAGGAGGGCTCAGGGACCTGGGCTGTGGTGGGGAGTTGTCCCTGGCAGATGTCCTCACTCCTGGGCAAAGGACTCCCTTGGATGGAAGCCCCGAGTCCTTCACCCCCTGTCCCTGAGCTGCCCCTGGGAAGGGACCAGCTTTGACCTGCTAACTGTGCTGAGTGGTCACTGAAAGGCGGAACCTTGCCCTCCTTCTTGGCCAAACCCCATTGGGTGAGGCTCCTGTCTCGTCTCCCTCCCTTGGTTGAAGTGCGTGATTCTCTGTGAAGGATGAGAGGTCATAGGTTGCAGGTGGGGAAAGCAACCCCTCCTTCGTTCCCTCCTATGACTAGATAGGTGCTGGGCCCCCCCGTCCCACCATCTCCAGCACCAGCCTGTGTTTCTCTAACTCTGCACACTCATTTTAGTCCCTGACCCAGGTCCTTGAAATATCCCTGTGGCAACAGATGAACCCCTGTGGGTATAGAAACCTCTGGTTCTCAAAGCACCAGGGTTTCCGGTGGAAGAGCAGCTGGAAAAAGTCCGAAATACACCTGTGTGAGTTTCCTGTGATTGCTGGAACCTCAAACATGGATGGCTCCAAACAACAGAGGCAAACGTATTCTGGAGTCCAGGCGTGGGCAGAACCACAGTCCCTCTGAAATCTCTCGGGAGCATCCTCCTTGCCCCTTCCAGCTCCTGGTGGTTGCCAGCATTCCTTTGCTCATGGCAGCCTCTGCTGTCGCCACATGGCCGTTTTCCCTGAGTGTGTGCCTGTGTTCACATTTTTCTCTTTGTATAAGGATACCAGCCATTGGATGAGCGCTCACCCAAATCCATGGACGAAGATCCTATTTCCAAAGGAGGACACATTCACAGGTACCTGGGTTAGAACTTCGACATATCTTTTTGGGAGGGACAACTCAACCTGCAACACCACCCCAGCCAACTGAGCCAGAGACACGGGGAGCTTGGGAGTGCATGCCCCCCAAACACTGCACCCCACCAGGCCCTCGTCCTCACACCCACTCTCCAGTGCTCTCCCTCGTCACTGGCCCCTGTGGTTACCTGCCCGTCCTTTGCCCGACCCTGAAGGAGGCTGGAAGCCAGTTTTAGCCTCTTCTCCGCACCTCTGCCTAGGCCATCACAACAACAGCCCATGGATTAACGTGCCAGCTGGAGGCGGTAGGTATTCAGCTGTGACCTTGCCCAGGAGCTCTAGGCCAGGTGCCTACAGCCCACTGGTTCAAATCCAGCCCCTGCCTGTTTCTAAAATGCAGTTTATTGGAGCTCCCTGCTTGCCATATTGTCTCTGGTGGGGTTTTTGTGTTTTTTGTTTGTTTATTAATCCTCACCCGAGGATTTTTATTTTATTTTATTGATTTTTAGGGAGAGTGGAAGAGAGAGGGAAAGACAGAGAGAAACATTAATGTGGGAGAAACACATTGATTGGTTGCCTCCCGCATGAGCCCTGACCAGGGCCTGGGCCAGGGAGGAGCCTGCAACCGAGGTCAGAATTGAACTTGGGATCCTTTGGTCTGCAGGCTGATGCTCTATCCACTGAGCCAAACTGGTTAGGGCTCTGTGGTGGTTTTTACCCTCCAAGGACACAGCTGAGTTGTTGTGACTGAGGCCTTCATTAGTTTGATAGCCTCTTACTTACCTCACTGGTGGGGGAGGGGTTCTTGCCTTAGGGCTATGGGAATGGCAGAACACACAACTTCCCACACTGGACAACTGAGATGCCTACAGGTCATTCTGGGGACAAGCA